GTTCAACAAAATTTGCAAAAAGAACAACAAAAACAGAAAGATCGACATGATGAAAAATTAAAGAAAATTGTGTCATACCAAATAGGTGATCTAGTTCTGTATTACAAAGCAATGTTAGATAAGCAGTGGTCTGAAAAATTAGACCAAAAGTGGAAAAAACCATATTATATACATGACATAATTGGAAATGGCGCTTATAAGATTAGAGAATTAAACAGGAAAGTCCTAAAAACCCCTATAATAGGAAGTTTATTAAAAATCTATATAAATAGAGTGATATTGATTGAACTTTACCCTTTCTTCAAATTTAAAATGGAACTATATAATCAAATTTTAGCAGACTTGCAGCAAACTGAACTTCTTTATCTAGATATTCTATCTCCTTTTTATCAATACAATGATACTACATTATAACAAGTGAAATCTCTACTTCGACAACTTAGAAGAGCAGAAAGCTTAAGAAATAGAGTTGAAATATTAATAGTCCTCTGGCATATAGGAAGGCTATTGAAACTAAAACTGAATCACTAACTGAAAGAACTCAATGTATAAACCTTCTCTCACCATATTATCGAAAAGTAGTTATGTGAGTATATTACCTATATGAATTAATTGGAATAGACCAAATCACTCAAACTAAGCATACAACTATAGGAATTTTCTCTTGTATTAATTGTGAACAATATCAACAGCTCGTACAGGAAGCCAGTACTATCGCAGGAGCTCAGATGTTGGAGGAGGAAGTTATTAGTGATAATCTGTTTGCGCAACTAAATGACTGCACTAACTAACGTCACTAATGATCACCAGAAAAATTGTGATCATCATTTTTACTGATTTCACTACTATCACGGCTATCATTGTGATATTCATTTTCATTATTATAACGTTTATCATTATTTTATTTATTATATTTATTTTCATAGTTATATTTACTTTCACTATTATATTTATTATCTTTATCTTATAATTGTATTTTATATGAATATCCTGTATTGTCATCTTGACAAACTAACAAGTTTCAATCGTACAATTAATAAAGTATAATTTTAACAACATAAAACTATATCTTTGTTAATATCTATTTTCTTAAAACATAAATCATCAATAAAGATGACCTGATCCTTCAACTTAAATAAATTCGTGTTTATTTATTTTATAGTTTACAACTTAAACTTCCTGTTAGCAAATAAGCTTTGTTATTCTAATGATGTAGTATTTAGGCTTAACATCGTAGAATTATATAAACTGGTTTAATAATAGAATCAACCATTATAATAGTAAACTTTTGAATAATTTTCATATACGGACAATCATATTTGAATAATTTATATGGATCATTATATTTGAAGTCATACTATTGAACCAATGCCAAATGTCGTTCTTCATAACTGGGAATCTTTAGACTAAATAATATTAAATGCTTTTTATTATAGTTTAAAAATATAAATCAATATTAATTATTATTGTATTTGATCAAATTAAATAAAAAATATTATATAAATTTTCCTTAGCGAAACATGTACCATCAAATGTATTATAATTTTAAGCCTTCTTTTCATTTATATTAACTGCAATATTACTAAAAGCAGGTGAACTATAATAGTTACTTTTAGCACGTATAATATCTGTTTCTCTAATTATTGCATTTGTATATCATTTAACAAGAGTTGCCTTAATATCATCATCGGTAATATCTTCAATAAAATCAAAATATTAGTTTAATGAATTAATCAACACATCAAATGCTGTTTTGGCTTCTAGCACTAAATGATGTGTAACTTTGTATGTATTAACAAATGTATCAAAAGTAGTTAATATAAAACTACCTTCAATATTACCTAATATTGAAGTTCAATGTCAATATTTTTTAATGGATGATAATTGTGTTATTTTCTGAAGATAACCAAAAATACTATCACATCATACCTAAATGAATATTTAAATAATTAAATAAATAAATGTTAATTTTCATAAATCATTATTGTAAAAAATATTATACTGTGTTGATTATTTGTAAAGTAGCATTTTTACGATTACTCATTCAGTATAGTATCTTGATACAAAATTTGTGTGATGACTTATAAGTTTCTGTTGTAAATCTATTAATAGCATCATATTCTTATATGTTATTTACGATATGATGATACCAATTATGTAATTTTAGATATTTCATTCCAGTATTTACAATTGGTATAAATAATATAATAAATTTTCTTGTCTAATCTGTAATTATATCCTAAAGTAACAAAATTAAAAGTTAACATTTTATTTATATAATCAATCATTAATGAAATTTACCTGAAATTTAATGAGTTCAGAATCTGTAAAAGTATCCTTTTGACTAAAAATATACATCCTATTTTAAGATACAAATAAATCAACAAGTTTTTTATCATTTTCTTTTGCTTGTCTTAAATTTAAACATAGTTTTTGTTTTTCAATAATCAATCCATCAACAACAAAAACAAGTTATTTTATTATACTTCAGAATTTTGCTGCGGTAAATCTTGCAATATTACTAAGACTATGTTTAAAAGATTTTAATTCAGAAAAGCATGGAATTGCTGCTAAACACTGGTCAAATTTATCAATACCTTTTTGTTCACAATATAGTTGAATATAATTTTGAGTAAAATTAACCAGATAATTAAATAATCCTAGATTACAATAATGCATGCGATCTGGAACCGTTGCACTATAAATGTTCATTCCACTATAAAGTTATTAGAAATAATTCAAAATAGAATGATAGCAAAATATGAATCATTAATATAATTACTTACCAAAATTTCCAAAAAATATTTTGTGTTAAATGAATAGAAAATTTGTGATCAAGATTACGATTCAAAATAAATCTCATATTATCAGGTGTTTATAACTCCATTTGAGACAGTGATAAATCAGTATTATTTAATTTATCAATGGTTACAGTACAAATATGACAAAAATACTTACATCAAGAAGAATTATAAGTTAGGGTCAATGTAGCACTTTCAGGTAAATCACCAATAAATTCAGAGAGAAATAGAAATGTTCAAATTATTTGATTATCAGTAATAATATTCAAACCATTATTTTCTAATTTTTCAAATATTGGTTGTGTCATAACATCAAATCAGTGTTGATACAGCATTCTTTAACATATGCAAAACCATTCCTATTATCCTTGTAATTATGTAATTATTTCAGCTTTGATAAGAATCCTAATAATACTTTAGCATCATGCTTATTTCTTCACCAATTTGGTATATTTCCTAATGATAAATAAACAGGATGCTCAGAACTTTTGCCAAGATGGTCTAATGTCGTAGCATCAGAATAGAGAATGATCAATAAAACCTTTTTTAATCCAATACTGATTGTTTGTTAAGCACATTCCTATTACTGTCCAGTCCATTGTTTTCTATATACATGTTCAAGATTTCCATCATTATATTTTGCTAAAAAATCCCATTGACAGTACTTTAATATATCAGCATTGGATATAAGCTCTTTGATAGCATCAAAGATAGAATGATGATGAAGGTAATATTCCTTATCTTCATATGTTAGTATTTTATTTTGAGGTAAAGTAAATGATCAACATTTATTGAATTAACAAATTTACGCCTTTGTGTTATATTTGTTAGTAAAATGATAATTTTTCAAAGATGATGCCTGCGAAACTACTTCAATATATCATTTTCAGCTGAATCAGAAAGATGATAAGTTAATATAAGTTTCATAAATTCAGAATAAGTGACATCTGGAAATTGTGGAAGCTTTTGGATCAAAATAGATCTCACATCGATTGATGATATTTGAACTGGTTTAGAGGCATGTAGATTATAATCATAATGTTCAAAAGCAAACTCTTCAATTTTGATAGTATAATCCAATGCTTCATCTTCATCGACTGAAAAACTAGTATTATCAACTTCTTATTCTTGCTGATTATTACCCTCTATATTTTGCTTTTGTCAATCATCATCCTTCAAAAAAAAAAAAAAAATTAAGTATATCATCATACAACTCTAAAAGTTTAATGTCAATAAAATTCACCATAATTTCCATCGAAATTATTTTTTTTATTTTCACTGGTATTTTTAGAACATTTGGCTATACTGTTATTGAAATTATCAGAAAGGTTATTAAGTATTTCCCAATAAGCTTGGCCTTTATGAGAACTAGTGTTGTTACGTTGGGTTTCGTAACTTCAAATAAAATCTCAAAAGGGTAAATAAAACTAAGACAATTACTCAAGGAATCACAGGTGAGAATTCACAATAACGTCGAAGAATTATTCTC